TTTGAAGCCCTCACCATCTAAGCATCCGACAGCGTCCATTGTGCTATCCTTGGGGGACACAGGATCAGTGAGAAATCACAGAACTATCTCTATTGTGAGCTGTGCCTTTAATTCCATGAAATCGCTTATTCAGGCTCCAGCGGGCAAACGAATCGAGTTCGAATTTATTGAAGAATTCTCCTTCCTGTGCACATCAACTTGCGTCGACTACGTAGAAATGAAGATCTCGGATGATTTACGCCCAACTGGATTCAGGTTTAAAAATCTTCTCCTCTCTATATGAGGGATACTATGATATTTCTGAAGATATTTTCGAAATCCCATTCCTTCGATAGTGTTGCTGATTACAGATGGTGTTGCTTCAATATCCCCAAGGGTTCCTTCGTCTCTGAGCTGAACATTGCAGTGATAATTTTCCGGTCACAGCTCACCAACGACGTTGGCTTCAAGCTGCAAGCACGAGCCAGTAGGTTCCAATCTTCTAGGTGTTCAACTACAATTTGATCAGCTCTGTTTCAGCCGATCTTCCCGCCAGGACCACACCGGCACCGGTGGTCATAACAACGACACGTTAGTCACTCTAAACAGGACAGTCTTAATTGACGGATGCAAGCTAGGTTTTCCAGCTGTACCAACGACCATCGAAGGGACCGATCAGTGGGCCGAATGGGGATCGTGGTCGCAGTGTTCGCGTAGTTGTGGTGGATGTGGAATCATGTCCAGAGTTCGAGTATGTCGTACAAAACAATGCAAGTGAGTCTAAGATCCTTCTCCTTCCCTTCAGCCACGAAGATTTTTTNTTTTTTAAAACTACTGGTTTACCCGTTTGTTACTTACCCAGTTACAACATAGCGTCTTTGCTATGTCATCCATGTAAGGAAGGAGAGTCCTCAAGGGAACGCTGGCACAGCATATGGTTGTTGATCCCCGGCTCGGGCGTGTGACCAAATCTGCGCAGTCTTCAGCGTCCAGCGAAAATCTACTGAAAGCGGGAAGTATTTAAGCCCGCAACCTGAGGGATCCGGATGATTGAACAGCGCAGTGCTGTTTATCTAGATCTTCATCGCACTCATTGGAGTTCGATCTTATCGAACCGGGATTGTGAGGCGCTCGAAAGTTGGGCAAGGAGGAACAAGGAGGAAAGAGGACATAAAGAGCCGCTTCAAGTTCTACACTGCCATTTTCTACTTACTTATCGTTAAGTCAGAAAATAGGGATCTGGCTTGGGCTCAGAATAAGCTGCAGGGGTGTGACGACAAAACTTCCTAGAAAAGACTTGATGAAAAATGTTCCTTGTAAAAATTATTGATTCTTACTCTCTAACCCATCTGGGCGATGCTATAAGCCGTGGCGGCGTTTCGTACGACCTTTCAAAGCAGTAATCGTCTTACCGTCAATCGATGATAAAGCAATAGGTTTGCGACAACTTTCAAGTGGGACACGCTCAAAACAACAAGAAAGCAGGTCATGCTCGTAAGGATCGAGAATTTGTGGAATTTTCCTTAAAATTCTTCGAAAAAACGTACTGATGAGCGACATTCTGCAAGAAAAGGACGTCAAAGAAGGCGGAAAAGAGAGATGGACTGAAGGAGGACCTTGGAATCCGAACAGAGGAAGAAATATTGGGGCTGATTTTCTCGGCCAATACGACATTAAATACCTCAAAAAGAAACGCGACAAAGTTACCATGAAAATGAGAACTTTTACTCAAGGAAAAAGATCAGATGAATACCCTTCCTGACAAGGTAAAGAAGCAAAGAGGCAAGGGAATAAGATGGCGTTCACAGAGCCTAGAAAGGTACGGACATGCCCAAGGCTCCAATATAACAAATGACACTCGCTGTGGTTAGCAAAAAAGGGAAATTGCTAAATTTCACGTTTCTAGAGCAGCTGAGACGTGCAGGTATGAACGCCTTTCCCACCTTTTTCACTTTGCAATGAAAAATATAAAAGAATTTTTGCTTTGTTACAGCATCTTCAAATTTTTTAGTACCAAAAAATGTTCATTCTTGGCTACAAACCCCAAAGAGCAGTGTTCATCACACTCTTTGGAAAAAAATAGCCAGCAAATATTAGTTCAGAAGTACCGATTGTTCATGACTGAACACAAAAGACTCGATCGTTTGTGAAAGGTAAACATTAACCTCGTCGATGAATAAGCGCCGCAACCCTTGAAAAACAGGACAGCATATTATTTACAGAGGCCGACGGCAAGAGTTCAGCACGTGCAATTTGAAAGCATGCCCCATCGATAAGCACTGCGCTAAACTACTCGCTAACGACAAAATCTGTGACGGAAGAGTTTGTACCAAGTATGTACCGTGCGTTAAAGATTTTGAGGAAATCAGCAAATTCATATGTCAAATTCAGGGCGTCACAAGCATTGTCGGGATGTCTGGAGCCTCAATGCTGTCCACCCTTCATCAATGTAGACGGCACTTGTCAAAGTGATTCTCCACTTCTCAATGATTTCCAATTGACTAAGAAATAGGTCCCCCAGAAAATAGCCCCAAAATGATAACTGCAGCTAGAAAACAATTAAAACTTCGTATTCCGCCTTATCTTTGGGTTTGCCAATCCTCCATTAGCTACACTTATTAGCAGAGGAATCCCTGAATATGTGACTGTCTTTCCGCGATAACATATGTGGTCCCCTCGAAATCGTATTATTTTCATTTATCTGTATTTGAGACAATTTCTAAGACAATGTATAATACGGGTTAAACCTTCTTTACATAATCACAAATAAACACAATTCTTAATGGCCATACAAACAGTTGAGAATCGCATTCTGTACGGAATTATGCTGAGAATTATGTTACAAATAAAGTGAATCGAAAAATCCGTAGGATTATACGAACGTGGACAATTATGCACATCGGATGAGAAAGGGCAAAGCTCGGCTACAAAAAACCTGGATACCACTATATTCGGGATTCATATAATTGAAGGATAACACAAAAACTCAATCGGGGACCGACTACTTCCAAAATACGTACAGGACTTTTTTCTAAACGAAATAGAATAATTAACACCAAATACCAGCGAAAAAGGCATGATACACTTGGTGTATCACCTGATTTGATCGCAGATTACGTTGTTTAATACGTATCACTTACCCAATCGGGTGGCACATAAAAAAGTGTCGAAAAACAGAATGAGATAGACGGAACGTGAATGACACTAACTCAATTACAAACAGCCGGACCTACCATGCTGAGAGACATAATCAGATAGAGATCCTTTAAACACAGCCGATCATCGGTTGAAAGTTGGCAACTTATCGAAAGAATACCCTGGACGACCGCATAGCGTACAGATAATGTAGTAGACATGATAAGATCCCGGAACAAAACAAAGAAAGCCAGCAAATAAAAACACCCAGCCTTGTGGACCTATAATTAGGCCCAGATTATGTGAAGAAATAAGAACGCAAAATAATGCAATGCAGATCAAACTGCAAAAATTTTCGATTTTGTTGTTGTTGTTTACCCTCATGTAATGCTTCCTACAATTACTACTTAATAGTCGAGTTTTTACGGTTCACATAAACGAGCTTATTTTGAAAATACATCCAACAAGTAATACCCCAAGCAAACGTTCTACCTAAACAAAAGGTGGGGCTGCTGTAGTGAAGCAAACCACCTACCAAAGGAAATGCGATGGGAAATAATTAGTGTTAACCGCTCTTCCTCAAATCTTTAACCACCGCGAACCTCTCCACGAAAGAAAAATCGCTAAAATTAAGCAAGCTGAGCAAGTGAATGCCACATAGTTACAAGCATTCGATTTCGCTCTCACGCCCTAGAGTTGGCATCGATTCTACCCCTTGGTTCGTTGTCGAAAATCATGTGCGATCTATTTCCCCGCATTGGAAACCTGTTCCAAATACGATTATGCTCGCAAGGTTTTCACCCATCAACAAAACACAAGGGCAAACACCTTGAGACAGAGAAAATGATACGACGAGAAGACACATTCACAAAGGAAAGGAAAAGGGGGATGGCAAAAGAAAACCGACAACTCACCCTCGTCAGGACGAAACATTACCATCGTTCCCACAACCAGAAGAACTAAAAGAACATGAACATATCTAGAGGAAAAGCGATTTAACCAACATCTTTCTACACCACTGATGCATGGGAAACTTCGATAAAATATATAAATATATAATACTCACTCGTTCCAACAACGGTGAGCACTATTGAACCTAATATTACTTTGACATTGGCACGGATATGAGGGTCGCTGCATAGGCCTCTGAACGAATTTTGAATTACTCTGTTATGAATCATATTACTATTATTTTAGCTGTTACGTCATTAGAAATAGTCCTCGAAAAAATAGAAAAAACTGCCCCACTTACTTGGGTTTATTGTTTTGTGGTCGACACTGCGTGCTTGTATGCGTGGGACTTCCCCCAGGAAACACTCCCGCTCGCCCGCGTTCAGCATCATCTTCGTCTCCAGAATCATTTGGGTCTACTATTAGCTATAAAAACAGCAGATACTAGCCGGAAGAATTTATGAAAAATAGTAGAAGTCAATCCTTGAATCCTGCTCCACGTAAGAAAAAACATCATTTCCGAGACGAGCACAGCAAAACGTTTCCAAAAAAGGAACGATGAAAATAGAGCGTCCAGTAACAAAAAAATTTAATAACATTTACTCACATGTTGCCCTTGTGATACATTACGCTGGTGGCCCGGCAGCGCTGGCATCCTGCAATCATATTGAATAAATAAATACACTTGCATTGGGCGAATGACCTCCATGAAGAAACGACCGACAATTCAGTTGACCCAAATACACACACTAACATAACAAAGTTACTTACTACGAGTAAAAATAATATTTATTGCAACAGTGTTCTCATAAATTCAGCATTGCTTCAATAAACATTCAGCCTTTCTTATATCGGTCACAAAGCAAACTTAGCTGCTCATAAATCAAATTAATGGCACCGCTTCAGGCTTAAAAAAATTATTTCAGCCGAAAGATTAGTTGTGTTGCAATGAAAACGGACCAAACGCGATTGAATGCTTCTTCAGTCGCACTTTTCAATCGTAACTCTTTTCCTAGTGGGTCTAATCATGCAAAATTTCGATATGGTAGCATGGGTGTATTATGAATATTTACCACTATTGACCTGCAATCTGACCATGTTCCAGATATCCCAGATGGTCCTACTGGAATTTCTTTCCTTTCTGCTTTGTCTAAAGTGTACGAGCGCTACTGCCGAACCAATAGATGAGAAAGACGCCCATAAGGTGCAAATAACTGCGAATAGATGTCGCTAACTTTACTTCAGCGAAGTCTGCTACCCCATCTTGCGCTAGTCATGTGGATATTGCTGCTTTGCCATCAAATACGGTTGGATGGTGTCAAATATGCTTCAGTTAAACATACAAAATTTCATGCGATTTGCTCCACTAATAAAAAAGTTATGAACGAAAAAGCGCGAGGGCATTTGGCCGAAGACTTTTGAGCGCAAATGCAACAGAAAATACACAACACAAGGATTATGCACTAGTTAGAGAGCAACACTCGATTCAGGAAATATGGTAGCTCCGAGCAGGCTCTTAGAAAAAGTGAGACGGCCCAGAAGTGGACAAATTGTCAAGGGTATGCAGCGGGCTCCACTGATAAAATGTTGAGCAAAAAATCTCATAAACTTCTTGATTTTGGAGAAAAGGAAATGGAAATAAAACATGCAGCGCTTAAGAACAAAAGCTACAGAGTTTTCAGAATTGCTCAAAAAATCCCATCATGGACCCGTTTAATTTTAATCCTCTCACACATTCGACCAGACGATTGCATTCCCCGAAAGCTTTAATGTAATTTTTTGCCAGCATCAACGCCTTCACATGAGAACAGAATTTTGAAATGAAAAGCTTCTTCAATGTCCTCCCCAGCTAATTCGCTTGACAGTGAAGACGAATTTCTCTCGGGAAATAACGAAGCCATTAGGTAGATTTGGCGTAATTAAGTAGCACTCAATTTATTTTGAATGATTTCTGCTCATCTCCTGTGTTTCGGAGATTTGGCAATCTTCGAGCGCTTTAAGAGAACAGGTCCATTTATAATTATTGCAGGCTCAGTTATATATAACACACAGAAGATTACTATAATGCCAAGATTAATGGAGAGCCGATTATGGACTATTCCTGATCTTTATTCAACAGACTAGTACAGTCACGAAAGCCAGAGGTAATGGGAAGATCCTTGGCTCAGCGTTTTTCATAAATAGGATCCATCCATGAAGTAAAAAGTGCAATTTATGAAGCATCGGAATTCATCTTTCTTGAGATCCCTAGTTCTTTAAATTATGATGATCATAAGAAAGTGTAACTAAGAGCCACATCCCTTCATGAAGTGGGATTGTTGCGAATCTGTTCGTCCTATTAAACTAAGAATATATTGAAATAACGAACTAATCACAAGCAACTATGCCTCCTTCGAAGCCCAAGGCCTAAGCAGACATTAATCGAAAGTGAGAAATAAGAAGTTTTCCACAGCGCTTTCTCAGAAGAAAGTGGTATTAAATGAATTAGAACATATGCACCTGCATATCTAAATTTCCTAGGAAACAGAAATATGAACAGGTGGCATAGAAGTTACCATCTGCTAATCGAGACAGCCATCAGCCATATACCTGTCAAGTTTAATGAAAAAGTAGTCATCCAATAAAAATAATTGCAGGAACCGAGCCCAGTAAGCGGGAAAAAGGACGCCGCCAAGTGGTAAACAAAGAGAATGTCGTAGAGTTGAAGCCGAGAGCGCTGGCGCCTGACCTCCCACCGCTGGCAAGCGGCCAAAGATTGCGTCGCAGCCGCTCGCAGTTGAAGTAACTAGGAGATGACTTGCCATTGGAGCGCAGCATGAGCCGGTCTCTTATTCCTAGTAAGAGACTCCGCTACTTCTAATGAATGGAGGAATTCTAAGCATTCAACATTGCACAGATAACCAGCTTCTTACACGGGTGAGAAAGAGAATCGGCTTTTTACCTAAAGATAGCCAGGTGCGATAGCACCTTACTGGTAACGGTGAACTGAAATTTGACTAACATTGCTCAGGTGGGCCGGATTTGGAATAGTTTCACAGACTTGGATGAGGGCCAAACAATTGATAATCAGTGCTATAAACTACCATAAAAATGTTTAAACTCCGTAGTATTCAACATATTGCACTTCAAAAAACTACAGTAGCCAGCTGCTTCAGCATATGTTCAGCCCCATTCAGCCTTATGCTCAGAAAAAGGAACCCCAATTATGCGAACATTTCCAGGATTTATAACGGCTATTTGAAGTTCATATGGGTGTTTGACAAGGAAAGTTATGAGCTATCAAATGACAGGGAAAGTTATGAGCTATCAAGCCAGCCAACAACGTGGCTGGCTTGATAGCTCATAACTTTCCTTGCCTTCCTTGCCATTTAGTAGTAACCTCCAATTAAAATCTACTTCTGTACAGCCATAAAGTAGCCCTACACTTGTGGCTCAACGTTAGCACAGAAAATGATGCTTTTGGTTCAAAATTAGAAGGCGATACTTCTGAGGTGAACAAAAGCCTCCGAAAAGTTTCGATCCTTGGGAGGATGCAAGCAAGTGCTGGTTCAAACTTAAAGGCATAGTTCACGAATTTTGAGGTACCCTTTTTAGGTTGAAAAGCGTAAGCGTTGATGTAGTGGAGTACATCGGTGGCGAAGAGAGCGAAAAAAACCGCCTACTTCAGAGCTTTTCGAAGGCAGTGGAAGTGGAGGTTGTGCGAGATCACCGTGACAGTAATGGCATGTAAGGGCTGTTTGTCCGAGATTTAACTTGCTCTCGCTGCACAAAGAGATGATTACATCAAGCCGAAATTGTCCGAAACTGCCTTTCACTGTTGCCATGGGTTATGTCAAGTTATTTAAACTCCTTACATAGGAATCTCTTGGGATAGTGTAGCCTCTACAGAGCCGTTGGACTGGTCCACTAGGGGTGTGGCATTCACACGATACACTCTCTGGCCCTTTATTTTGCCCTATCCATGGTGATTTTCGGCCTTATAAGGGCTGGTATAGTATAAGGGAGAGCTTCGAATTTATACTATAGAGGAATCTTAGAAACCATTTTTATCGTGAACCGTACCTTTAAATTTGGGACACTCCTGCCCCCACTCCCCTAGATTCTGGCTTAAAAAGTTTTATTTATGTGTTGCCCGTGATAAATGCCAATCAGTTTTCCTGGAGAGCCTCCTGACACGGCCTCCTGTATCAGAAGGGTTTCCACGACCCTGGATGGAAGGCTTGGTTAGGCCTAGACGGATATCTAGCCGGACTAACAAATCACAGCGGTAAAGTACTAATTCACTAAAACGTCCCGATTTCCCAGTCATTGCCTACTGTTTGCTGTGATGGATTTATATGAACGTCCATCAATACATGATTCATGATTGAATAAGAAAAAAGCCACTTGATAGAAGGGTGGTTCTGGTTGAACGATGTCTAGTGGGAGGAATCATTCAGTCTCTCACGAAGCTCCCGTATAATTGATTAGATTAGTTTCCTGAACAACTGTTCAAAAGGGTATTTGTTTGAGGACGAGAGGAAATCAAGCACTAATCGAACGGACAGCATTGAATTGTTTCCGAAAGTTTGGAGTGAAAACTAACAGCGAAGGACTTGAAAGAAGGAAAGTCAACATTTGACGAAGTGTATGAATGTTGAACTGCCAATACTTAAGCTGCTTTTCTCCGGGATTTACGACGACCTTTCAGCTTTTTTTCTGCAGACATTTTCATTTTTGCGATTCTAGATTCTAGAAGAGCGCTGAACTATTGCTCAAATGTTTGTTATTTCACGACCTTTTTCCCTGAGTTATAAGTTAGGTTAACTAGCCTGAAGGTAAATAACCCAAAGGTGAACCTAGACTCCAATTTTATGCAGACGTCTTCTACCTCACCTCCGTCATTGATCACTGAAACCTCTTCAAAACATTCCTCCCGACCAACGTTGTCAGGAATAATATCAACAGGTAGAACTGCCCCTGTAGTCTTCAAGGGGAATTTTAGGCATCAGGTTAGTACACCAATAGAAACTAGCTGAGAGTTCCAAAAAGTAAGCTATGGCCTGAAAAACCCCTACAGTACTCTTTTAGAAGTGTGATGCGGTTGATTTAATGTGGGACTGGGCTTCGTCCATCCCACCAAACCTCATATCACTGCAACATTACTACAAGTAAGCCTCAAATCATTCCCTGGCGGACAAATAATAAATGACTATCGAGCGAACGAACAACGATTAATTGACTAGATACTTGATGTCTTTGCATGAATGTAATAGGAATTCTATTATTCGCAAAATTCAATGCAAATAATTCATCTAGTTCCTCAGTACACGGACCTTGCTATGAATCTCCCATCTTGAGGTCCGCGAGAAGGAATAGTGGTTTGAGAGTAGGTTGAGGTATGGAGGAAGCATAAGCCACGGGGTTGAAACCGGGCAGTAAGTTCAGATTCTCAGTCGGTAAAAAGAAGGATATGGCGGAGGTGGTGTAGCGGCAAGCGGTGAACTCTCATACACGCATGGCCATGGGTTCAATCCCAGATCGATATCCGCTCAGGCGAAACAGGACTTCAATCCCCCGGGGTCGGTTGGTTGGTACTAGACTCGTCTGGAAGGATAAAAGCACTGTCTTCACTGGCTCGTCACCGCAAGACATTGTAGGCGACAATCGCATTCA